GTACTTTCGTTCTTATCATTTGCAACCTTTTTTTCAGTCGAAAGATATTGACTAGCTGAATCTGAACTCACATTATGATTTTTATATACAATAACTGCTCCAAAACTGCTACGATAGTGCTTTCTTTCTGACGTTTTAACTCATAAGATGCTGATTGAAAACATACAAATCTGTCTATAGATTCTGGAAATTTTCGAGTTAAGGCTTTTCGTCAAGAAAGGGCTTTTATGCAAAATAATGGTTTTTAAATAAAACTTGGCTGAACCACAGAAAAGTGGTCTTGACCGGCCGAACAACTTTAACTCGAAAATCTCCACAATCCATCAACAGATTCGTATGTCTTGACTCCGACAACCTTCAACGAAACTTTACACAAAACCGTTATTTTCGTTGAATAGGCCTTCTCCGACCGAAAAATTGCACTCACAAATTTTGACAAACCACCTATAGATTCAGATTGATCAATCACGAAAGCCTTTAGTCAAGTTTTATAAGAGACTGCGATTTTCCGAAAATAAGCCGTCTTTAACCAAAATATCAATCCCGCCAGCTTTTTATTACCCGTTACCTGATTACATGACCCTCTTGTAGCAGTAACTTTCTACCATTAAGCGTAACAGCTGCTTCGTGGATACAAGTGATGTCAATAATACGACACTTTAGTTTCAAAAAGTGATATGGATAATTAGAGAAATTCAATTTAACTTAAATTTACTAAAATTAAAGTTACAAGCAATTTAAATTTAAAATAAATTCAACTTACTATAATTTAAATTGATAATAAATTTAAATTGTTAGAATTTAGGTTTATTTTAAATTTAAATTTGTTTAGATTTATTTTTAAATTTTATAAATTTTTTAACATAAATTGGCCACCCATAGTAGCAGTTTCGGAGCAGTTATTGTATATAAAAATCATAATGTGAGTTCAGATTCAGCTAGTCAATATCTTTCGACTGAAAAAAAGGTTGCAAATGATAAGAACGAAAGTACTTTTTCTTACCGCAATAAGAAATGACCTGTGTATTTTATTTTTTTATGAATAAAAACAGTTATGGTACTCACTCACGCAATGTTCTGTTTCTTCACAACTTTTTTTTTATTTGAGGAAGCTTTACTTGCTATTGTGCAATCACTAAACTATTTCATTTACGTCTCTCTTATTTTATCTTGTGACTCCTACATTCATGTTCATGACGATTACTTATTTTGAGTATTGATAAAACACTTCATAAAATGTATATTGCATGTAATTTAAAATAAGTACTTAATGATTGGTTGAAGAGAAATATTATTCTACTGTTTCTTCCTTCTTTCTGTAAGAATAGATCCATTATTTTTCAATTCTGCAGCAATGCGGGTGTGGGTGGGTGTGGGTGTGGGTGTGGATGTGAGGTGTGGAATGTGGGTGCGGGTGTGGGTGTGGGTGGGTGTAGGTGTGGGTGTGCATGTGAGTGTGAGTGGGGTGTCGGTGTAGATGGTGGGTGTGGGTGTGTGTGCGGGTGTATGTGGATGTGGGTGTGTGTGGGTGTATGTGGGTGTGAGTGTTGGTTGGTGGGGTGGGTGTCCGCGTGGTGTCTGGTTATGGATGCACTTCTTATGTCCAGTAACCCATACCCCACACTCACACTGATCTTCATGTATGGCTTCCTGTTCTTTAATGAGTTCGGTTGCTTTCGATTTCATCTGTTCGATTTCAGTTTTTCCTTTATTAAATCTATCAACACAGCGTTGTTCTGCTTCTTGACATTTTTCTTCATAAAATCGATCAATTATGATATTACATTCATCTCGCCATTTATCCAATTTTTGACGACAGCTACCAATAATATCGTTCATATTTATTTTCGAAAGTTGATCATTATCAGCATTAAGTTCATCAACAAGAATATGAACTTGAGAATTTATTGAATTAACATGTTCGTTGAAATAAACGGAACAAACGTTCTTATGACAACAATCACATAATCCTGCTGATTTACGTTGGCATGTTTCAATGGCACAAGTTGTAGGCATGATACTGTAAAAAGATTGATTCGGCTTCTGCTGATAATGACAAGTGTAATGTGAAGGTAAAGAATGAACGAATTTTTTTTTCCACAAACATAAATCTATTGGAGGAAGGTGCGCGCCTTCACAGCCTGAGACAATGTACATGGTTTCGCAGCAAAAATTAATTATTTTTTCAAAGAAAATGTAGAATAGAATGAAATTCTGCACCACTACATTTTTCGAAAATTGCATATATGATGCAAATGATTGTGGGTGTGGGACATAGTGGGAGCGGTAGGCGTGGAGTATTGCGAGAAGTTGTAGGTGTCCGGTAGGGTGAGTGTGAGTGTGGATGTGGGTGGATGTGGTTGTAACTCTTCTCTTCAACTGCACCTACATCACATGCCCACACCCTCATTTAGACGTATTTCACAGAATCCAACTAAGCGATCCATAACAACATTCGGTCCTACCGTTTAAACAAGTATAGATAGAACCTTGTGGAGAATTCGACAGCGCATCTTTCAAAGATAAATTCAAGATTTTTAATTTTTTTCGGGTTGCGAAATACAAAAAATATGGGATGTTTCAAAGACACGGGAACACCCACGCTCTAGACCCCATACCATTAAGTTGGAAATATTCGGCGAAATAATCTCCGGAGAGACAAAGATGGCACTTTTCGAAAAAGTATAGCTTCCGAACAAAACGCGAGTAAGGAGGCACGGAATTATTTTTCACATGTTCCATGGAGTCCTGGTATAGGGAAAGCTAGAAAATTCATCAGAGTAAATAGCGAAACTTTGCTCTGTTGTTTAACACACTCATCTATTCGAGTATGTGTTGTTGTCGAACATAAAATTGAAAATGATTTATGCCTTTCTTACAGCAGAAAAACATATGTTTATTCTCTTATTCTCTCGTGGATTCACTCTCCCTTACTCTCAGCTGATTTCTCTCTTGCTTTCTGAATCTCTGCGAGGAATCATATGTTATTGCCAATGCAGCGAGAAGTCTTACAATACACGCGAGAGACTATTTCTTTGTCTACCCCTAGTAAAAGAAAAAAAATGAAACCAACATTGCTGTCCTTGAGCAACACGACAATGGAACAGGTACTCGATGCGGATAAAGCTAAAAATGATACGCACACTCACATTTCACGCTCACAATTTGATGAAGATCCATGCTATAGTGAACAAAGATTAACCATGCAAGAGAGCTTTTATCCTTGTCGCCACACCTCAAAAAAGTCTCGAGTCTCAACAATAGAGTGTTAGTGTGGATGTCGGTATCATTTTGCAATTTCATCCATAACCACACACCACACACCATACCCTATTAGTGTTGCTCAAGGGTAGCAATGTTGATTTCACTTTTTTCCCTCACTAGTGGGTCGACCAAGAAGGATATGGATGTCTGATGAGGGTGAGTGTCGATGTGGGTGTCTAGTACGGGTAGGTACGAATGAGCGTATGGTTGTGGGTTGCGATGCAGTGTGGATGTAGGTGTGTGATATTGGTGAGTGCGGTGAGTGTCTAAGTGTAAGTGTGGTGCAGGGCTGGGTGAGCGTGTGGGTGAAAGTATGAATACCAAATGGGCGTGTATGTGGGGTTTGGGTGAGGGTGTGGGTGTGAGTGTGGGTGTGGATATGGGTGTGGCGTGGGTGTGTGTGGGTGAGGGTATGGGTATGGGTGTGTGAAGTTTGGGAATGTGCTTCTAACCATATCCGTACCCACACACCAACCCACACCCACACCCAAAAATTAACATTTTTCATACGTCTAAACGTAACCAACGTAGGTATTTTTACCCTAGTCCCGCCATAGAAGTGTGGGTGAAGGTGAGGTAATACTACCCACACCTACACCCTCGACACAATTTCCTATATAATTGCACGATGTCAATTCAGTGCACAATACAATATCATACTAACAATGTCCACTATTGAATGTCTGAATTTGACGGTTTATTCTTATTTCTTGGGTGCAACTCTACCTCAGATATATGATAAGAATGATTTTATCGCATTCGATAGCAATATTTTTTCTCTCTTCTGTACATGTTGTTATATAATCGTCTATTAATAGCTGCAAGTTAATTGATGGCTAATATTATTAGTTACAAGATTCGAGACACTAAGGAGATAC